CGCATACCTCATGACATATCCCTGTATTCCTTTTAGAGCCTATTATAATCCCAGCCAGACATTCTGTTAATTTTTCCAGTAATTATGGAATATTTTTTATTTAATTTCAATAACAATGTGATTAAACTTTATTCAATATATCATTCTAATACAATCATATAGCTATGTTTAAAATTTTTTTTCGTTTTCTTTAAACAAAATATGTATATTAAAAAAATAAAAAAAAAACAATTTTTGAATTATAAATATGTAAAGACATAAATAAAAATAAAATTCGTAATTATAACATATATATACAGATAATTTTCTTTGTTCAAAATTCTTAGTTGAATATAAATAACTTTATAATTTCAAAGTGCTACTATTTTTACTTTCTCTTTAAGTTAAAAAAAACAATAATTCCAAGAAAAAAATATACAAAAAAAACAATAGCCTGACGAATAGAGAAGACGTGAGTCAGACTTTTGTGTTTAATCCCAAGAAAAAAAAAGTCTCGGAAATTTGTATGGTTAAATATACTTAGAAGAGAAAAAACTATAAAAAAAAAATTCATCAATAAACAAGTTGCATAATAATTAGAAATAATAAAAAAAAAGTAAACCATGACTTTTTTTTCTTTTCAAAAGAAAAAAAACTTTAGGCATAGTTCGTATAATTCATAACATATAGTTATAAAATATTTAATATATTCAATAGAAGAAATCTTTATCAATAAATATATGCAAAAACATTTCAAAAGAAAAAAAAATTATCGGCATCTTTAGTACTCGGTCGTTATATACATTTTTAAGGCATTTTTCTATTTTTTCTTCCTAATTCTTTCAGTATATAAAAAAATTTATATTCCAACGCTCAAAAAATTTTAGCATAACTTCACAGGTGAACAATTATTAGTTATTATTAACTTTTAAATAACATTCAAAAAATAATAATTTCTGACTAAAAAAAATAAAAAAATTAAGGAATTTTAATACATTTATTTCGTACTTCTTGTATTAGTATGTCGTTCACCAAAAATATTCTGGAGGATGATCTCCATGACCGTTAACAATGTACTGCCCTCGTAATAACGTAATAACGTCTTGGGTACCGTTTCGGGTAAATTACAGCTTCTTGAGCCTCATTGGTCATCCGCTATTAATTTATATACATACATATATCTCCAACACCGTTGCTTTTGTCAAGAAAAACTGCCAGCTCAACGCCTACTAATAACAGCTAATTTTTACAAAAACAGGATCTGTTGCCAATCGCTTCAGTATGCCAGTTTTCACTTATGTTCTTTTCGGATACAACTTGATGCTCCACTTCTCCGGGTAGTGTTTCTTTTGACGCATTTCACAAATTTATAAAAAAAATTCTGCAGTTCACTTTGAGCGTACAATTAATTTCTCATGAGTACACTTTGGTAGCAAAAAAAAGTTTTCTTTTTCACTGTATATATAACCAGAAAACATAAATTCAAGAGTATTGTTGCTATGTCTTACTAGCCCAACATAACTTAACGACCGCCCAATGTCCTTCTTATGGCGTCAGTTAATAATTATTTCAAACAAAATAAAATGTTTAGGTTCAATTAGAATTATTCTGCTCAAGCAGAATAACTTTTTTGACTTTATTTCTAAAGGATTCGTCCAAACAAAATTTCATTGTTATTTTTTCTTTTTCGTGTTATAACTCGTTGCGATTTTAAGTTCTTATCAACACTCCTCCAGCTCAAAGACTAAAGACCAAAAAACTCCTACTTTCCGACTTCCACCGCCTTTTATATCTCCGCTAATACCAGTAACTGCCTTCCTTTAAACTTTTTATTCAGTTAGCAATCTTAGCGGTCGCTATTAACGTTTTTTTTTTTGATTTTTCTACATTCCGAACAACAACTTCTAATTTTATTTGTTTTGCCCTATGAGCAGCATTAGAATTTGCAAGTTCAGAATGCACACGGAGCTTTTGCCGCGATCTTGTAAATCAAAACAAACGAAGTTAACAAAAAAAGAAAAAGCTTTTCTATTGCTATTTACTATTTGTCTGCATCCGTGTTCAATGTACATGCAAATTAGTAGTATAAAATAATAAATGTTAAAAAAAATGTGAAAACAAAAAAATGTGTGCATTAATATAAAAAAAGTAATACGCAAAATGTGGTCCATATATGATATATGATATGGAACCAGCCGGTGAGGCGCCCATTCATCTTATCTCAGGGGCAAATGTAAACCAAAAACAAAAAAACCATGTGCTGTGCGGAGGCTACACAGAGCGCTCTTGGACAGCGTGGAACAAACACAGCACTCATCCTGTCAAAAGTTTTTTCATATCAAATATTGATATTCGACACACGTTCGTGTTGAACGTATTTAAACTATATACATTTTACTTTAATATAATATATAAAGCATAGCTTTTAAGATTTCAATGAAGGCTGTAAATTCAGTCATTATTTAAAAATGATATTTATGTGCAACTTTTTTAACAATCCTCGATTTCGCAAAATACGACGTTTATGAATTAACCGCCATAATATGTAGAAACAGTAAGAAATAATTGTTCCGTTTTAACAAATTTTAATTAATAAATTGTTTTAATTTTTATGTATTTTCTACATATAATGAAAATTTTATACACAAAAAAAAACCCCAAACAAATTTCAGCTTGCATTCGAAAAATATATTCAATAGCAAATCTTTAAGTTCGTCTTTTGAAAGACAAAAAATAGCTTTTATGAAAGTTGCTAGAATACGAAACACCTTTCGAAAGATTTACTTGTTTAGAAAGACTGCGATGTATATAGATGACGAAGAATTCACTGAAGAGACATCTGTAGCGAAGGAAGCTAAACAGGTGGGCAATGGTGAAATGATGGAATTTATGAAGAAGATGATGCAAAAACTAGATCAGAATTACAATGAGCCATTGAGTAGAAGTGGTCTAACTGATGAAGAAGACTTGAAGGATGGACTAGCTAGGAGTATAGTGAAAGAGTGAGACAAATCCAGTTATGTTAATGACGGAGAATACCGAAATATTTGAAGAAAATTATATAGGGAAAACCAGATGCGAATAGGGAGACGAATGAATTGTGGATTGTTGGGAATAACGGAGCCAATAGTATCGTAATTGATGGAACATTTGTGGGTATGAGTGAAGAAAGCAGAGTACCTATTCCACTAATAAAGCTAAATACCGCACCTAAATTTGTCAATGAAGGTGCGAAAATTGGTCAATGGAAGAAAGTTGCAGTGGCAATTTATCTTGTGATCAAAAAAGAACGAGAATTTTTAATTTTTGAATTCCCGCGCTTATTCAATCGGTAAATTTTTTTTTATTTTCACGCTGGCAACACTATTATACACATTCTATCAAAGTTTATCGCATGTCGTATGATTAGTTTTTGTTTGGCGTCTATACAAAGAAGTCGAAAAATTTTATTGTGGCGAATTTTTTCAAAAATTAGAACAACGTGCGTGCATCAAGTTTTGTATTGCAAATGGATTCAAGTGTGCCGAAACGTTGAAAATGTTAAAAATGGCTTTTGGTGATTTGTGTGTGTCGTAACCACGAGTATACGAATGGTTTAAAAGGTTCAAAGACGGTCGTACAAGCTTGGACCATATTGAGATCCCTGGCCGCCCACCAACATCTGCTACTGAAGAAAACATTGAATCGGCGAATCAGATCGTATTGGAAAATCGTTGTGAACTGATTAGAGGGATTGCAATGTTATTGGGCATCTCGTATGGATCGGCCGAACACATTTTAACTGATGTTTTGGGTTTGAAACGCATCGCTTCTTGGCTAGTGGCAAAAAAGCTGAATTTCATTCAAACAAAGCGTCGTTGTGATGTGGCCAAAGAGATGATTTCCAACGCAGATAGTGACCCCACATTCATCGAGCGCATCATAACTAGTGATGAGACATGGGTCTATGAATTTTACATGCCTACCAAACAACAATCGACCGAATGGTGCTTCAAAGGTGAGCCGAAACCGAAAAGAGAACGCCAAAGTCAGTCCAAAATCAAGGTTATGGTAACTGTTCTTCGATATTTGTGGTGTTATGCACTATGAATTCCTTCCGGACGGTTAAACGGTTTTCACTGGACTTTATTTGATAATTACAATTTTACAATTTTATTATAAGAAAAAAAATATTTCGTCACGTATCAGAATTTCACGTGTTGCCTTCTCTCGTTGTCAAATCACACACGCACACTATGCTCCTGTCAAAAGTGATAATGTTTTTTTTACAGGGTTGTCACTAGAGTATTTTTATCAGGGTTGACACGGTCAATAAGGAGTATTATTTGGCTATTATACGGCTGTTAAGGCTGTTAAGCACCGTACTTCAGATATGGCCCTGTGTGACTTTTTCCTCTTCCCCCGACTCAAATTGCCATTGATAAAGAAAATTATTAAAAATTAAAATTTTGGTTTTTTTTTTTCAAATGTTCGTTCTTTTTTGATCATAAGGTATTATAAATAAAATTATTATTAAATTAATAATTTTTTAATATATGTGGAACTTTCGTTCACTTTCTTTATTGTTTAAAAAAAATACATTTATTAAATGCTGTTTATTTACTACTTGCGCACGTCAACCTTATTCGAAGCTGTGTAAAGAAACTGCATTGCTCAAAACTTATTTAGAAAAGACAAAAGCAAGGATTGCCATGTAGTAATTAGTTATTGATGAGTTTTATCGTTTGAAATGCGCAAATGGTGAATAGTGTTTAATATTAAGTCTTTAATATTAATTCATTACATTCGCACATTCGCAGGTAATGTGTACGATGAAGCAAACGCGAACGATTTGTAGTATATTCTTCTATATTTTTATTTGATTTGATTATAATGCATAGTTGCCTGATATTTTAAACAATACATGAATATTTAAATTTTTGTTCACACCGGGTTATAAAAAACCCGACTGTACCAATTTTTGTTTAGTTTGTAGCAGTTCTGCAAATGCTTAACTTTTTATCCCAATTTTTTTCTTTCAGAAAGCAAAACTTGCTCACCCGAAGAATACTCATGCAAAACTGGTGAGGGTGAATGCATACCATTAGCTTGGATGTGTGATCAGAGTAGCGATTGTTCCGACGGTTCCGATGAAGCTTCTTGCAGTAAGAACTCAAATATTTTTTTGTTTTTTTGCAAAAAAAAATACAGATGCAAAATTATTTAGCATCTACACTTAAATTGGTGTTTGGGGCACATGAGCATATTTTACACAAAACATTAATGAACAGAAATAATTCGAGTATATGCACTTTTCTTATTATATTTAACTTTTTATTGACTTTGACTATTATGTAGCTTTGGTGTTGGTTCCTTTTTATTTAGAAATTCCTTAGATGTTATAAAAATTTAATAATATATATTTTCGAGTTTGGTTAAATTAAGACTAAAATGTGAGATGATTTTAAGCTAAGCTAAATAAGACTATATTACTGTAGTGTTGCAATATTGGTACATTTTCTTTGTTCGTTTAACAAATCAATTATTACTTTTAGTAAGTATTTTTACTTTTTATTAATCTTCATATTTAGTAATTAAATTCAATTCCTCATTACTTGGGTTTTAATTAAAAGTAAATGACCAAAAATAATATCAGGTGATTTTAAAATGATAACTGTAAAGTTTTTTTTAATTGATTCGATTGAGTTATTTTCTGATTTTCGCCCGAAAAAATGAAAAATTGTCGATGATATCAATTACTTGTCCAGATACGAATTTCTCATAAATTAATTGATTTGCATACATATGTGGAACATCATTATCATTCTTGATTGAACCATTTAATTTGTTTTCAGAAAAAGTAGCAATTTTAGTTTATGCCATTAATAATTAAGAAGTATTATTTATGTAGATAAATGATTAACTGTGATTATTGCAATAGGTTTAAATGCTATAAATTCTACAGATTCCTTAGTACAGAAGTATAAACAAAATCAATTTTTGGTGAATGATTATATATTAAATATTAAAATATACAGTGCGGTTGACGAAAATTGCAACAAAGTATTTTTGTTAAATTTAATGAAAGATAAAGAAAATATGCGATAAATAACTTAAAACTTTTAAGTTAATTTAATTTGGTTCAATAAAGCCACGTCTAGTATGAATTATGGCCTTCATACGACCAATGACGCTATCGCACGCTGTCCGTAAATGACTTTGCAGTATTTTGACGATCGACATTTTGGTATTTTTTAGTGCCAATCTTACTTTTTAAAATTTTTAAAATTAAAATTTGATGGAATAAAGCACAGAACGTTGTTTTGCTGCCATTTTTGGTTGACGTGTACTTTAAGCGATAGCTCTGAGTCTTGTTGGAATGTCCACCAACTGCGACCAAAATGCTCATCTGCCCAGGGCTTTAGTGCTTCCTCTAAAATAATTTCCCGATAGATATGGGCGTTTAATTTTACCCCACAGTCAACGAACACGAGTAGGGAGCGACCATTGGCCGTTACGGCAGCCGACACCATTGATTACACCTGCTTTCTGGTGGCCATATGACGTCTCTGACAAGTAAGCTCAATCATAATGCTTGTTTACGTACTGCTCAATTATGAATGGTAACTCGTCACAAAAAACCAAAATCGGCAATCCACTACTTTCGGTCAAACGAACCAACACATTAGCTCCTTCGATTCCAATTTTTTTTGGTCATCGGTGAGATCATGCACTTTGATCAACTTCGATAGTTTTAGTCAGAACTCATTTTTCAAAATGTGTTGCATCCTTTCTCGCGATAAGTTCAGCTCCTTTGCCATTTGATTGCAACTATAGACTGGGTTTCGCTGAATTTGCTTCTTCACTTTATGAATCATTTCTGCTGTTGTTACTGTTTTTTTTTTGGTCAACTTACTATGCGTCGCGCAATGCTACCAATATCACGGTATCGAACTATGGTACAAGACACAATTGATTTATTCACATTTAGGTGTTGGAGGACCCGAACGATATCCATTTGTGTTTTTTTAGTCAAATATTAACCAATCACACTATCACGTTTGAACTCCATCACATACAAGTTTTTTTCTACAACACAAAAATCAAAATAGCTTCGTACGCTTGTAAACACGGTAATGAACTGTCAAATGAATTGATTTTGAGCTGTCTGTTCTTATTGGTTTGACAGTTAGATCGATGAGAAATTTAATTAAAGTTTTCGTCAGTCACTCTATATATTGCGTCTATATAATGTAGAAAATGTTTATAGATTCATTTTATTATTTATTATTAAATTAATAATTACTACTAAACAATAATTTAATATCATTATGCAACTTATATCAATTTTACGATGGTCACTATTTATATTTTGTACCTTGGCAACACTCATTGTTGTCAGGAGTCATTTGACATTTTCATACGAAAGTTTGACATTACTAAACATAACATAAGCTACATTAGACTTTTTGTCAAAAGAACGTTACTCGCATTTATGTTGTTTACAGTGATTTGTAAATTGAGTGTATGCGAAAAAAATGGAATTAATCAATGAAACAAAAACTGATGCTGTTCAAAAACTGAAAATAAAAGATCGTCATGCAATATACTTTGAGGGAAATTGAGGAATCCCTAGGCATTAGTTCCACCAACATATATAACGTATTGCACGATTATTTAGCCATGAGAAAAGTTTGTTTTCGATGGATCCCCATTATTTCACAAAATCTCAAAAAGATGCTCATGTCGAGCATGAAGGCGATGCTTCAAAAGACGTATATAAGATTGTAACAGGTGACCCATCATGGATATATGCGTATGAGACGAAACGTAAACAGCAGTCAACTGTATGGGTGTTTCAAGGTGAACCAAATCCAACAAAAGTTGTTCGATGTTGAAGCATTTCGAAACAAATGGTTGTTTGTTTCATTGGGAAAACAGGTCATGTGGCAACCTTACCATTAACATACATGAATGTAAAACAGTCAATTCCAAATGTGATCGGTCATCCGCGGTACTGTCCTAATTTGAAGAAGAGGAAGCCGTTTTTTTATTTAAAAACCATGTTTTGGAGGTATCTCAAAAATATAGAAAAAATGCATGATAAAGTGTTTTAATCATAAAGGAGAATACTTCGAGAAACAATAAAGCATTTTTCAAGAACAAGTTAGTATTGTTTTATTTTTAATCTCAAAATAAAAATAGTGGCCCTCGTACATTATATACATTTAGTCTAAGGATATATAACATGATTTAAAGTAATCGTATGTGTCAAATTTCTTTTCGATGTTTTCTACTCCTGGTAGTGCACTTGAAAAAACTGGTTTAGAATTTGCATCCATTTATGTTCTCCAATCATCGTAAATGAGGCATGTGGTAAAATTGTTAAAGTATGCTGCTTCTTCAAATGCCAGAATTTGTTTTCCATTCCCAACTTTAAGTCTAGGTTTCATATTGCCCATATTCTTCAAATATTACACTTGTCTAGATTATGGTCATACATATGATAAACTTTAATGACAACATTTTTATTTTGATTGGCTCTTTGCTTTTTTAGATGTTTTTTAGGTACTACAATTACCATTTTATATATTTTTAAATTAAGATAATTAGGAAATTTACTTAGGATATTCTTACAAAAATACCATGTCTACTTTGCCAATGCTTTTGAAGTTCTTAGTGTACATTTTACACTGCTACAAGTTAAATTATTTATTTTTTTGAAAATTTATACCACTACAATTCTGCTAAGCAATTGAGATGTATATAATAACTGATAATCCTCTGCTTTCAGTGTAATATAATTTTGATTTCATTAATGCAATTAAAATTTAAAAATAGGAAAAAAAGGTGAAACATATTTTAAGCTATCAAAACTCTTATATATCTTTGATCTATTTTATTTAATAAGTACAGATAAAAAAATTTCTCGAAAATTTAACATGGTTGAGTAAAATTTAGCCAAACTCACATATTGTCTGAGCAGCTTGGTTATGTATATTATTTTTCTTTAACAACCTTACTTATATAGCTTTAATATTTTTGTAGAATTTTATATCTATCTACTTTAAATCTACTTTAAACTTTATATGACTTTTTATCCAAATATTATTAATTTTTGACTTTCATGAATAACTATACATCTAAGGCTCAGATTCTGAGCCTTATTTTCTTTTACACATTTATTAGCTACAGTAATGCTTCTCACTATTTCTTGCATGTAGTTTTTAATTGAATTGCTTTCGTTCACAGTATATAGTCCTCCTTTATATATATATTTAAACATTTTTTAATAATATGTATTTATTTTTAACTATTTTTTTATGTGTAATCCCGCAAACTTTCAATTTTGATTAATTTTACTCATTTTGAACTGAAGATGAAACTTGTCGATCAGATGAGTTTACCTGTGGTAATGGGCGATGTATACAAAAGCGTTGGGTTTGCGATCATGATGATGACTGCGGTGATGGCAGTGACGAAAAGACCTGTTTAACCGTGCAATGCAACGCTAGCAACGAGTTCACTTGTATCGATGGTGGCTGCATATCTAAGAAATGGCATTGCGATGGTGATCCAGATTGTATGGATGGTTCGGATGAAAAGGTACATTTCTTGAGAAGAAAACCTCTTAATTTCTATAAGTAATTTGTTTATGTATATTTGACTTATGACCGTACATGATAAGTACAGCTAATATAAATTTAAAATAAAATGTAGAGAAACATCTTTCTTCTACTTAACGAACACTTTGCATCAATCTCAACATCCTTGGTTAGATGTTAGCGATACCATATAAGTGAGCTTAAACGCAGTTAATGATGTTGTACAGTACATGAGATGATGTTTTCTTTGCAAATTTTAAGACGTATTCCAGTTCAGTGTCAGGGATAAAACCCAGCCTTTCAAAACTAGCTCCAAATAGCAACCCAGATTGGGTGTATTTGTCGTTTATTATTATCTAGTCATCCAAAGAAATTAATTTTATTGAGAAAGTGTTTGTAACTATCAAAAACATAGAAATATAAAGACATGTAATTTGTCTCTGTTAAAAAAATCATGAATTTTGAAAAGGCACACGCAATGGAAAAAACATGTCTATTCAAACTTAAAAATTATCAAACTTATTATTTTATGTATTATCACTAATATTTTGTAAAAAATATCTTTTTATATCACGAATATCTCTTATCATGAATTAATATTTTCATTTCTTATTTTTTTAACTTTATACTTATTATACTTTATACTATAATGCACACTCGCAGCATACAGTTGTGTTTCATTTCATTTCATCTGAAAACTATATTTTCAACATGGTGCCGAAATCCGGGAAGACAACTGTCGATATTGTAATATAATAGTGCAAGTAAAAAGCGATTTAATTAAAAAGCAAACTAAAAAGTGATTTTTATCTAAATTATAAACGAAGAATATCTAAAGGGCGAGTGTGAAAGAAATTTAAATAACATAAAATTCATCATAAAATATAAGCCACCCACTATATAGGACATCGAGCCGCACACAACTTACAAAGTTGTGTTATCAGGTCAATAATTATTTGAAAGAGCCTGATGACATTAGTGAACAAGGCCTGGCTATTAACCTGAAGCGGCTTCAGAACGCCCACGAAAAGTTAAAAAAGGTTGATGGCATGATCCAGGATGAAAAAGATTTTGATAAAGCAATCGATTATGATGACAAAGCAATAGCAGTTATTGCAAAAGTTGAATATAACATACAGCGGCTGAAGATTTTAAGCAACTAACCACTTCACTCAGACCTTACGGAAAACATATTACAAGGCTTTGAAAATTCTAATAATAGTAATGGAGTTGATTTTCGTCACAAGTGCTTGGCGCGCAAAATAATCACTCCGCTACTTTCGGTGTTTTCTAAGTGAAACACATAAAAAGTGATATTAAACTCATTACAAATATGGTAATCGAGACAGTAACTCTTAAACAAGAATATAAAAAAGAAAATATAATAGTGCCCGAAATAAATAAAATATTATTATATTTATTTCTTTTTGTAAAAAAAAAAGTGAATTTTGGCTTTGTTTTCGAATTTGTTTACTTTTCTCTAAATTACATAGACTTGAAAACAGCTGATAGAAATACCAAATCAAAGAATACTTTTACAAGAACGGAAACTCCGCCCACTTCCATCAAAACGAAGAGAAATTTATTACACTTTGGCACACGTATGGAATACATGTGATTTTACCACGATAACATCAAATTACTCTCTTTTGGGGTTGCAGTATATTAATTTCTTACTACTTGCTTATCATATGCTTTCCTTTTAATAATATAAAAAAGTTGTGCGTACCTTATTTGGTTAATAATATCACATCACGTAAACAAAATATATATTGTAACAACATAAATATATGATAAATAAATATATAAAAATTAATAAATAAACATTTAAATCAGTCAATTTTATTCAGTTTAGTTTGCTTAATCATGTAATATGTATTCAGCAAATTCATAATTTTAATTAATTTTTTCATATAAATTTTAAAGTATTTTGATTTATTATGTTCGGCAACAAACTTTTATTTACTGATTTATATTTTCTTAAATATTTTTTGAGCGTATAAAACATTATTTTTAATATAATATTGAAATAATATCATTAAATGCTGTTATGATGTGTAATTAATAAAAAAAACCGAAGCTACTACCAATTTACTTTTTTATACGGCAACCCTCAAGTGGTGAATGATGAATTATATTTCTCTGCATAGGCAAATTTTTCAAATTTAGTGCTGAAAAATCTATTGATGGGTGAGGATGTACGCGCATTCGCTGTAAATTTATGTGATGAATGGTGCGTATTTTTAATTTGTATGCATTTCTAACTGATCGGTAGCGATAAATCTGTTAATGGGTGAGGCTGCACGCGCATTCACTTCAAATTTATGTGGTGAATGATGCATATTATTCGTTAGATACATTACTGTATGATTAGATTTATATAAATTTTTTAAGTAGGAATATTTTTATATGCAATTTAATAAAAAAGTATTTTATGAATATTGAAAAATCTTTAATTTACCATCATATTTATAAAATATATTTATTAATAAATATTAAAGTATTTAAGAATATTAGCTAAGTTTAATTAAAAGAAGTACAAGTTGTACTCATAATTTATTATTTTTAAGAATTGAAATAATAATAACGATAATTTAATAAACATACAAATTTATTAAAGGCATTTGTGTAAAACAATATATATTGTTTGCGTACATAAGGAATAATATTTAAATAAAATAAATTGTCTTTTTTGAATAATATACTAAAAATATGTTCAATATGATATTAAAATCTGGGACTAGATTATTGTACTGACTAATTATAAATATTAAATTATTAAATTTTTACATGTAAAAAATTAAAATTTAAAAACAAAATTAGAAACAAATTTATAGCATTTTACTTAATAAAAAAATAAAATTGTGATATAGTAGTTAATTTTGAAAAATATTCTTATAATAATAACATAAAATTATGTGAATTTTTATTCAGAAAACACAAGTGAAGGTGTATGTAGTTAATTAAATCGAAAGGCTATCGCATTTATAGATATATTTCCTTATATATTTGAATATAAAAAACTATTAAAAAATGTTTAATATCTATGTAATTTAAATTTGTTCACATTTGAAAAGAGTACAAAGAAAATGCTTATCAGGAATGTTGTGTATTTTCATTGGAAAAAACAGGAACTCACATATGACTTACCCTTAGAAGCTTCTGCCTGAAATCAGGGATACTTAGGTCCCTATTAAAAAATTTGAAATTAAAATGCATTCGCATTCTTATGAAAAGAATTAATAAACTGTCTGGTTTGCAATTTTGGCAGTAAGTATATGGGCGTATGCTAGCCAACTTTTTATATAAAAATTGAGCTATACCTACCTTAGAGTAATTTTTTTCAAAATAAGTACAAAATTCTTCATCTAATCTTCTAATATAACTAATAAAGTCGCTAGGAGGATGTACCAATCTGCAACCATCAAATTCTTTTTCAAGTGTGAAGAGGTAATCACTTGAAACATTATTTGCGCAAGGTAGGGAAGCTAAACAATGATGTGACTTAAATATTTTTAAGTACATCCAACCACAAACGTAGGTAAAAGCATTTAGTATTTTATTAAAAATAAAATTGTTGAATTCAATTAATAATAAATTAAATAATATTAAAAGTCTTTAAACTATTAATACATTTGAATATGAATATTTTAATATACAAATATAATTTACATACTCCACTCTTTTTACCACCAAAAAATTGTATACAATTTTTGTTTTTTTTTATATTTCTTATTGGATTTTTCACATATTTAACAACACACAAATTAACACATAAGACAACTTTATTAAAATATATTAAATATATACTCACATATATTTTTGCTTTACTAATTTGTATTTATACACACCAAAACAAACAAATCACATTAAACACAAAACATGTATTTTAAATCCACAATTAATAAATTATTGTTTTTTTTACCTTCTCTCGTCATTTTTAGGAAATTCATACATTCCCTTAAATAACTTATATCCCATCACGCAATTTCACACCATCTTCAAATATTAATAATAATATATAATAATTTACTATAATAATAATTATAATAAATATAATTATTTTTTCAAAGAAACTTATTCACTACTTTTTATAACTCAGTTTGATTTGACTACGTTTTTCAGTTTTTGGCGCATTTCTCCTGTCAAAATAACTAAACAAAACCCAATTTGCGCTCTTCATATTGCTCTTTCGTAATAAAAAAAATTAAGAACGTTCCGTTCGGGGTGGTGAAACTTTTCAGTCGTGGTGGGCCGAATTGCAACAACAAAACAACGTGCTTGGTTTGGTAGTAGTAAATTATTTTGAGATTGTATTGGTTGGTTTTTTTTTGTTTACATTTAAGTTGCCGTTCTTGTACAAGTATTCTTTGTAGCAAATAAAGCTAAAAATAAATTTACAAGAAAAGTGTTGCAAACGGGTAGAATAACTAAACAAATTACAAGTCGCAAATTTGAATAATTGTGTAGTTAAATAACAAAGTTATGCTAAGTTAATAAAATAAATAAATACGCGGAAGGACGCCTAAAATATTAATAGATAAATTCTTAAGCAATATTAAAACGTATATTATTAATATTTAAATATTAATTTAATATTTATTTAATACTAGTAACCCCGGGCAGATGTTGTCTGCTATAGATTAACTTCTATTTTTAGTAAACTGCATTTTGTTTAGACCACCTATTAAATGACGGTTTTTAGTTATCCAGCGTGGTGATAAATTTGCCCTTCTACTTTAAATGTTGCTAAAGATATTCGTTGCTCCGAACGATGTCATATGAAAGCATGAATTGTACTTGCGTATATTGTTCAAAAAATTTTTTGATTGACTTGTTTCACCTGGTAATATAAAAATGGTTCAGATGATGAACCTGAACAGCACATACCTGGTGTTTCACCACAATACGTATTTTTTTTTCCATTTTTCCAATAATTACACTTGGGTGAAGACTGTAATTGTGAAAGACATTGTAATCGAAACCACATACATTCAAATC